AAAATGTATTTGAGGAAAAAAAAAAAAAAGTCAGCTGGGCATTGTGGTAACTATGACTGTAACTCCAGCACTCTGGAAAGCTGAGGTAGCAGGATCAAAAGTTTAAGCCCAGCCTGGGCATTTTAGTGACTTAGTGAAACCCTGTCTCAAAATAAAAATATTTTTTAAAAAAGTTTTATTTTTTCACTGAGCATTTAAGTGTATATATTTTCTCATTTATTCTGCTCTATTTTTTTGTTTTGTTTTGTTTTGTTTTTTCATTTTTTTCCCCGGTACTGGGAATTGAACTCACGACATCGTGCTTGCCAGGCAGGCACTGTGCCACTGAGCTAAATCCCCAGCCCCTATTCTGCTCTAAAAGCCATTGAAATAGGTACTATTATCTCTACCTTTTAACTTTCCCATAGGCATCCTGTTGGTTGAAATAATGTGGCTGGAAGACACTCTTAAGCTGTTAAATTGCCAGTGGGTGACCCAGAAGTATACAAGTATGTCACCTAAAAGACAAAGAAAAGTCCTATCTCTAAAATGAATCCATTGACATGAGCGAGTTATCTGCAGACAGCCAGATTACTCAGGCAACTTTATTAAAAATTCAGAAAACATAAAATTTCCAGTTACATGGCATGTTGGAATGTACATGGCATGTTGGAATGTCAAACTCATCTATAATCACATTTACTCCTCAACACTACTTATTATTTTTATCAACTACAGTATTATTATGTGCATTTTACAAACTAAGAGATTGAGGCTCAGAGAAGCTCAAGCTCCTGGTGAGGGGAAGAGTTAACCCCAGAATCCAGGTTGCCAACCCTAACTGCACAGCTTTCAATCGGCAGGTGGGACCTGGGCACGTGATGCATCACACAGAATAATGGCATTACCTCCATGATGATAAAATACATACGGGAAAAGACTCACTGGCTATTGATTTCAAGTTTCTAGATGAGGATATACACAAAAGTTGATGTAGGAGGCTGGGGGCATAGCTCAGTGATACAGCACTTAGTTAGCATGCCCAAGACCCTAGAACCAAAGGTTTGGTCCCTAGAACAAACCCAACAATTGGTACATGATGCAATTAGCTGACTTTCTCACACACATACATGCACACATATGTGCTAGAATAGAAGTTGTGACTCCCAAAGGCCACAGAGACCCCGCTTGGTGGTACATTGGTGTAGCAGGCCAGGTCAAGTATAAGAAACATCTGGTCCACTCTCTCCCTTCCCTTATTCTCCAATTTCTGTTGAGATATAGACGCAGTGTAAAGTTTTCCACTGCTAGCATACAACAATGAGAAATAGCAAATTAGTGCTGAGAAGGTACAGATGAAGGTGGAGACAGGTGAATGGGAGATGCTCGCCTTCAAGGACCACCCAAACATTACCACCACCATGGGAGATGGGCCAGGTCCTTCTGGAGAGAAGCCAGGCATTGTGGAGAAGGACATTCTTTAGTTACCATTTTGTATATTGCCTGAGGCCTGACCAAGCCATGATTGTTGGGTTCTGGAGGAAGTCTAGCATAAGCATAGTAAGCCCTGGGATCAGTACTAGATGCTTTGCTAAGATATGCGTGAAGGAAGATAACATGATGGCTTACTGGTCAGGTCTCATTCCTATGATAATTGAGCTGTACTGTCCTTGCTAAAACAGTTGATATCCTCTGATTCCTCTGCTGCCTCCTGGGTGGATTCTGGATAAAAGGTTACTGAAGATGGTAATCAGGAGTCAGTCAGTCCTAGAGGCTGCTAGCACCTGATCACAGGATTTTGGCTCTCTTGGTTTTCTCTTTTCTGATACATCTGTGGGCACCTAGTTCAGGGGACCTGTTCATCCTGGACAGAGTTGGATGAGTGGTCCAACAAGGCATTTAGAGGCAATATGAAATCTCCTGATTTTTTAGTATTGGTGGTTGCTTTAGTTTACTCATACTGCTATTATAAAATACCATAAACTGGTCAGTCTAGGAACAACAGAAATTTATATAGTTCTGTTGGCTGAGAAGTCCAAGATCAAGTACTGGCAGATTCAGTGTCTGGTGAGGGCTGTTTCCTGCTTCCAAGATGGTGCCTTCTTGCTGTCTTCACAGTATCAATAAGATTTCAACATAGGAATTTTAGAGGGACACAAACATTTGGACCATACCACAACAGGGGATGGTTCAAATTTTTATAAATAGCATTGTATGGGGCAAACAGATCATATGCACGCACATGCAGCCAACCTGTGGGCCTCCAGTCGGGGACCTGCTCTATTCTGATTCATATTTGAAGCCTCACAGTCTCATAAAGGAAAATCATAGACTAGAGACAAAACCAATGGCTCTCAGACTAGCTGGGATTGGTGTCAGCTTTAAAACAACAGATTGGGACCTTGCCACCAAAACTCTAAGTCAAGTAGGAGCTGATCAGGTCATCCCACAGAGCTACAAAACTTACCACACCAGAGTTTGTGCATAGATCAGTTCAAGAACATTCCTGGCAATATCAAACTCCTGTAGGCCAAGACTTTTGATGAATCGCATCCCAATGATCCTGTGAAAATGTACTAAGTTTAGTACCCAAACCACAACTCTTTCCTTCAAAAGAGCCCTCAAAAAGCTGGGTGTGGTAGTGCACACCTGTGATCCTAGCACTTTAAGAGGCTGAGGCAGGAGATTGAAAATTCCAGCCCAGCCTGGGAAAATTAGCAAGACTCTGTCTCAAAATAAAAAATAAAAATAAAAAAGGGGTGGGGATATAACTAAATGAAACCCAGAAACACACACACACATACACACACACAAAGATTCCCCACATCAATCAATCACGAAGCCCTTCACCAGTTTAGAATAAAGTTGTAAGTTCCCTTACAAATGTCTGAAAAGTTCCAAATACATAAGAATGTATTTTAAAAGATAATTAAGAGAATTGAGGAGGAAATGCAATTAGTATGGTGCAGTTAAGTAGAATACTGCTAAAGTAATTTCAAAATAATTCTAGACATTTTTTATTTTAATTATTTAATTATCCCAACTATTATTTTGTTTGTACCACTCTGCTTATTAAACTTTTTTTTATGAACCAAATAAACTGAGAACCTCTCAAGCCAAATAACCCAAATAAAACAAAAAAAGTGTTTTGTTCGTTCATTTGTTTGTTTGTTTTGTTTTTTCTGGTCCTGGGCCTTGCACATGCTAAGCACACATTCTACTACTGAGCTACAACCCCAGCTGGATAAAACAAAAATTTTAAATCTATGGTAATTGTAGTCAAATTAATGCTTTTTCCCTGCTCCCCAAATCTTCAAGGAGGAAACCAAGGTTTCCATTTACTCTGGGGAAACTGGAGGCTACACTGACTTTTCCAGACAGAGAAGTTGCCAATAATAAATTTCTGTCAAAAACAAACAAACAAATGAACCAGTCTTCTCATGCTGATGCCACGCCCTGAGCAATGCCTGCAGTAAAAGTGGGTTTGGGCAGAACTGAGTGAGGGAAGCTGACATCCTATCTCCTCACTGAGAAATGAACCCGCGTGGTGTCATGCCACTCCCTCCCAATGGGAGCTTGGAGAGCCCTGAGAATATGTGGAAGGAAGGAGATACTCTTCAGCTCATTTAAAAATGAATGAATGAGTGAATGAATGAGTGAGTGAATAAAAAAGAACCACAGAGGGCTGAGGTGTAGCTCAGTGGTAAGGAGCTTGCCTAGCATGGACGATGCCTTGAGTTTTATGCCCAGGGTGGCAAAAAAAAAAAAAAGGAATCACACATGGGTCAATAAGAACAGCGCCTCATGTCTATATAGCTGATATCTAAAATAAAAATTAGAAGCCAGGCCTGGTGGTGGATGCCTGTAATCCTAGCATTCTTGAGGCCGAGGAAGGAGCATCATCATGAGTTGGAGGCCAGACTGGGATACATACTGAGTTCAAGTCCAACCTGTCTCATAAGTACATAAATAAATAGATCTTAAATAAAATTAAAACAATGAGATAAATTTAGATGTACTAACTTGGAAAGAGGGCAGAGCATATTGGCTTAAGGAAAGCAAACTCCACAATGATTTTGCTGTTCACAAACAAAAATTCTGTGATTAAAGAAAAAAGTCCCATGCTGTGCACAAACAAAATCATTACAGAGTTTGCAGAGAAATCTCTCAATCTCTCTCTCTCTTTCTTTTTTTGGTAGTACTGGGGATTGAACCCAGGGCCTTTTCACTGTGTTACTTAACCATTTTTTTTTTTTTTTTTTTTTTTGCTAAATTCTAAGATGCTCTTACGATTTTAGAACAAGAATGCTGTCCCTGACCCCAAAGGCCTCACGTGCTCAGAGGCAGAGCTCTGGGAAGGTGACTGAATCACGGGAGCCACAGATCTGACTTGCAGACAGAGGTCGGGCTTGTTCAGAAGAGGTGCGTCACTAGGGGTGTGGCCCAGAGAGGTGACGCCCTCCCTGTTTTGTGCTTCCTGACCGCCATGATGTGAGCAGCTGTACCCACAGTAGATTCAATTTTTTTTTAATTTTAAAGAGAGTAGTACATGAGACACAAACAAACAAAAAAATAGAACAGTAGCAGCATACCAGTAACACGAACATAAACCAATCAAAGCAAGAACATTCAAAGTGATACAGGGTCTCGACAAATTAATACAAATCAACAGTGGGTGTTACATTGCATAGCGCTATCCTCAACTACATTGCTCAGATTAATAAATCCAATAAACTGAGACAGCAAGGCTGTCAGGTTAAGGTGAAATTTTAGTTAATTTAGAAAAGAACAATATCCCAAAAGACAGTGGACAGATTACAACGACACACAAGTTACGTACATAAGAGACCCACCCATACTTGCCGCTCAGCTGGGAATCAGGATGTGGTTACAGCACAGGATAAAATATTCATAACCAACCTCTATTTACCTCCTCAAAAACTCCCCCAGGAAGGAATCAGCCAAAGAGAACACGAAATCCATCAGGAGGAGGCGGTAGATTTCCTGGCCAATGAAGGTTTCCCAGCACTGGAAGGCAGACAAGAGTCAGCCTGCGGCAGGGCTGCTGCCTCTGCTCAGTTCACGTCTGTTCTGCTCCTGCCACTATGTCCCTGCACCCAGAAAAGCAGGCCCATTCTCTGCAGAAAGGCACCAGGTTTATTTTCCTTCTGTGCTTGCTTCCTCATTAAGCTTGTCCTCCACAGGTATCCAAACTCCTTCTAGCCCCATCCTCACCCACTGCCATCCCATTTCTTAGCTTTCTTAGCCAGGGATAATCAGCTTTCTTTTTTTTTTTTTCCTTTCTTTTTTTTGAGACAGGGTCTTACTATGTAGCCCAGGCTGGCCTTGAACTTGCAGTGATTCTCCTGCCTAAGCCTCCTGAGTGCTGAGATTACATGAGCCACTATGTGTGGCCTGGGCTAATCAGTTTCTTTAGCACAATGAGAAGGATCAGTGGTTAAGAATGTTCCCCTCTTTTTGATGATTGGCTTTATGAAAAATTAAGCAGCATCTGCCTCATTAACAAACTGAACCAGAGGTTTAGCAGGCTAGTGTAAACTGGAAATATGAAACTGGTGGTCAGTAACCTCTGCAGGAAGTCAATACTATGAACTGATAGACTGGGAGACTTTAGGAGAGGGAAGTTTTTGGTACACAACCTGAGGATGGATGGATGGATGGATGGATGGATGGATGGATTGATGAGTGGCTGGATAGGCAGCTGGGGTGTGGATAGATGACAGATAAACACATGGATAGGTGAATGGATACATGGATAAGTGGATGGATGGATGGGGTGGGTTGGTAGATGACAGGCAAATAAATGGTGGATGGGTGGAAGTAGGTTGATAGATGACAGGTGAATAAATGGATGGATAGATGGACAAGTGGATGGATGGAGGTAGATAGGTGATAGATGACTGGATGGATGGATGGGTAGACGGATCCATGGACGAATGGATGGATGGATCAGACAGTGGGTGGGTGGCTGGGTGAGTGGACAGAGGTATAACATGGTATTTTCTCCAAAGAGATTAACTTGGAAGACTGTTTTAAACTGCTTTGACAATTAGAGTGAGAAGGTAAGGGTGCCATGTTGATGCAAAATGATTTGAATCTGGACACAGCAGCATTACTTTGGGGTACAGGAACGAGGGGTGATACAGAGTTGGAGAGAAGCCCTTGGTTCCCTGACTCTGCTTCCAACCCCAGGCATATCAGGCAACCAAGGGTTTGGGATGGCCATCAGCTAAGAAAAACTATAGGATGTAGAGGCCAAATCTCAGGGGGACCTCAGCAGCAGAAGCAGAGGCACCCCCTGTGATGGCTACAGAGGTTGGCTTGTTCCTGAATCCGCATGGGACACCATTCTCAGAGTGGGAGTTCAGATGCTCAGCCTCTGAGGCAGAGGGAGGCTGAAAGATGTGGTCGAATAAGGCAGAGCCAGGAAGGGTCAGGGTTAGGGTGTAATTGTCACTGGCAGCACTTAGAAACCTGGTAGCCCTGGAAAGTGGTAAAGCCCAGGGTGTCCTAAGTTTCAGGGGGAAAAATGGAACATGGAGGATCAAAACAGATCTTATTCAAAATCCCAAGGCTTTGCAGGCATCAGACTTGGTAAAATCTGTTCTATACCCACCTTAAGCTGGGTCCACGATATTGTTTATTCCCACTTTTACAGATGAGAAAACTGAAGCTTAAAGAGATTAGATGACTGTAGAAGACACAGCTGGTCTTCAAGCCAGGTCTGCCTGGGTCTAGGACCAAATTTCTCACTGAGCCTCCGCCGAACCCCCCAGTTTATGCTGCCTTCTACACCAACTCCTGGTCTCCTCTCAAAGGGGTTCATGCAAATGGGCTGTGGTGGCCAGCAGGAAACCCACACACCTCTGGTGAGCAAAGACCGCAAAACCAAACTGAGGGCAGAACAGTGCGGAAATCTCACCTCTTCATCAGACAGCGCCACAATGTTGAGCCAATAGTAACAGAGAATTCCAATGATTGATATCTTTAGGAAGATGTTTCTAAATGACAGAAGAGAACATTGTGATCATTACCCTCCATGGCAGTCTCCCATGCTTTCTAACAATAATTCCTTTTGGGCACATGATAGGACAGAGGTCTCTGCCCCACCAGCCTCTGCTGGCTGGGTGGGGCCATGTGGCCAGTTCTAGCAAGAAAACTGTGAAAATAAGTAATGGGTGCCACTTCTACACCAGAGCTCTGAATGCAGTGTGAGACCCTCAGAACTCCCTGCCTTCTCCTTGGAATGGCCATCAGCAATGTCCGAGATGGCCACTGTTGCCATGGAATGGACTTCTCACTGATTAACTGGAGCAGAACCCTCCTGCTAACCCATAATGCACATATAGCATGCACAAGAAAGAAACTTTTACTAGGTGTGGTGGCACATGCCTGTAATCCCAGCATTCAGGAGGCTGAGGCAGGAGGATCCTTGTGAGTTCAAAACCAGCCTGGGCTACAGAATGAGCTCAAAGCCAGCCTTAGCGAGACCCTATCTCAGAAAGACAAAAAAAAAAAAAAAAAAAAAAAAAAGAAAGAAACTTTTGGGCTCTAAGCCACTGATATTTGGGGTTTCTTTTTGTTACTGTAGCATCACCTAATTTATGTGACCGATACTTTCTCTTTTGTTGTGTCTACAAACTGTCTGATTTCAATTCCTCATTAAAGTAACAGTAAATGTACTGTACCTAATGTTCATTGGGGGCTGACCCAAGATACTCTGCTGAGCATTTTCATCAATCATTCCCCTTAATCTTTACAATGCTATCATCAGGTACAGGAAATTAGTGTCCATCTCATCCAGTATGCAAAGTTTTGTGGTGACAACGAGACCTAACATTTCCCCTGGTATACATACCTAAGAGAATGGTGCGCCCTGGTGCAGAGGTTGGGATGTGGGGCAGGAATGAGGGTATATGAATCACCTGTGGCTGGATTTTCACCATGAGTCAGATATAATTGACAGATTGATTGATTGATTGATTTGCTCATTCATTCACTTTCCAATTCTTGTGTATCTATTAAGTCCTAGCCATTGTGAACAAGGCAAAGATCTCGCCCATCAATTATGGGAAAGGAAGATATCAATCAATAAAAATACACTAAGCAGTGGTAAGAAAATGACAGTGAAGGGCAGAAAGGGCATCGAGGAGCTGTTATTTTTAATAGGGTGGCGAGGGAATAGCTTTCTCCGCGGGTGATACTTGAGCAGGAAGGGAACCATGGAGCTGTCTGTGGGAAGAGCATTCCAGGCAGGAAGAACAGCCAGGGCCAAGGCCCAGAGGCGGGGACACAGTCTGGCATGCTTGTGAGCACTTAGGAGACTGGTAAGGGAGTGGGTGGGGACCGAGAAAGACAGAGGCAGGAAATGAGGCTGGAGAGCTGGCCAGACCTCAGCAGCCAAGGTAAGGACCAAGCTCTGGAATTATCACTGCACTACGCAGACTTATTGTCAGAACCAGGAATTAACCAATTGGGAACCGGCCAGGAAAAAGCTATAAGGACAAAATTTAGGTAGGTTTAGCCTTTGTTTATCAAAACCCCAGGGTCGCCTCTAGTACCTAGGATGCTTTTGTGGGAGTCACCCAAAGGCACCTGCTCTGAACTAGTGAACTACCTCTGTTTGGATGGCTGAATTATAGCTTGACAATGGGTAATTTCAGTCCCCTTGCAACTCCTTAGCCAGGAGCCTTGGTACATTGTGTCGCCTGTTCAACTGTCCATGTCATGCCAGAGAACTACATTTCTCAGCCATTGGTAAAGGTAAGCTGTTACTTTGAGCAAAAAGCACTTGGACTCAGCAGGAGTATCTTCCCAGAGTTCTTCTATGGCTATTAACCCACACCACATTTTAGATCTGGAATTGCTTCTTACTGGAGCATGGGCTTTGGTGTTCTTTTGTTTTATTTATTTATTTATTTTTTGAGACAGGCTCTCTCTATGTAGTTCAGGCTGGCCTTGAACTCACTATGTTATTTTATTTTATTTTTTGGGGTTTTTTCTTCTGGTACTGGGAATCGAACTCATGACCCTGTACTTGCCAGGCAGGTGCTATGCCACTGAGCTAAATACCCAGCCCCCTTGAACTCACTATGTAGCTCAAGCTGGCCTCAAACTCACAGCAATTGCTCCTGCCTCAGCCTCCCAAATTCTGGGTTACAGGTATGCACTTTGATTTTTTTTTTTTTCACTTTGATATTTGAACAAAACTCCTCTAACTCGTGGAAATGAGGCTTAGGGTGGGTATAACAGACACACCTACCGGATCAGGAGGATGTAGACTTCATGCCGTGGCATCTCGTACCTCTCCACCAGCCCAAACATGGAGTAGAAGCGCGGCACAGCCAGGTTGATGCAGGACACCACAAAAGGCAGTAACAGCACCGCCCCAGGGTCCCTGTGCGTCCTCAGGAACTGTAAGATGGAGGACAGAACCATGATGCCCACTGTGCGCTGCACCCTCTGCCTCACCCCAAAGAGGTGCATGATGGGAAAGCCCGAGCAGCAGCTACTCTGGGGTTAGCTACTAAACGATCATTTAGTTAGTACTTAACCTGTGCCAAGCACATGGAGGCTCAGAGACGCAGACACTTGCCTAGGGTCACTCAGCAAGGAAGTGGCAGATCTGAATGCAGACATGTTTGAGCTCAGACAGCCACTCTGGGACACTCTCCGGCCCACCAAGATGCAAAGGTTTGATTTCTGTGGAATTTCCCGTCCTCTCCTATGTGACCTTGTCTGTTTTCTTCAGGTTTCCCCAGAACTGAGCTGGGGTCTGTGTGACACATGGAGATCCCTTCCTCCAGTGGGGACTCAAACTCTGGCAGTGGCTCCGGGTACAACCCTGGGCTACCCTCAGCCAGGCGCCTTTCCTACGGGTCTTAGATAAGACAGGCAGTGGATTTATCTGATGCCTCACAGTCCCATTTTCTCCTCCCAAGGCCAGTCTGTGACTCCATCTGCCCCTGGGTGGTTTGAAAGCACCCCTCGAAGGTTCTGAAGGTTTCAGACTACAGTAATGGACTAATTATCACCAGCTTTCCAACCAACAGAATTAGAGTGCAGGTCGCACTATCTAGAGACCCCCGGATCTTTAGAGTTCCATTGCAACCTGGTTCCAATGCTGCCTCTCCCCCTACAAGTACAAGCTGCACTGGAGAGGAGGTGGCTGGCATTTCTGTGCCTTTCCACATCTATTCAATGGGGAGATCGTCACACAACCCACAGACACACTGCAAGAATTCAGTGTGTGACCTGGCCCTGGGGCCGCTGAAGGACACAGCACCACTCACAGCTAGCTGGAGTCGCTAGCGACTGGCGGCCACTAGAGGTATGCGAAAGGTTGATGCTGCTGAGTATAGGGCAGATGCTCAAACATTGGGAAGGCCTCCACTTCCGCATCCTCTCTTCTTAACTGCCCCCTTTACTTCAGGGCAAAAGTGAAAGTGAGAAATCTTTCCACCTGCAGCTTGCTGGCCATGACTTCCACCCTAAGTAGGCAACGCCAGACCTATAAAGATTGTAATTTCATTTCCCCTCTTTCAGGGTAGATCTTAATATGGCCAGGAAAAAACTTCAAGCTTGCATAGTCCCCCACTGTGTGTGTGCGTGTGTGTGTGTGTGTGTATGTGTGTGGTACTGGGTGTGGAACTCAGGACCTTTGCACAGGCTGCTCTCAAACTTATGATCCTCCATCTCAGCCTCCCAGAGAACAGGAATTACAGGTGTGCACTACCAGCCAGCTATACATCCACTTTCTTACTCACTTCATCCACTTCTTAGCGCCTATCTGTAGTAAGTATTAAGCCAGGTGATGGGAAGAAACAGACGCACAAGCAGGCATCTCTAATACTGTGTGAGACAAGTTGTATAGCATCAACCTGTAGCGTCACATACAGACCCTGTCCCTCTCCAGCATGCCATCCCTTCACCTGGTTCTCCATCTGGCACCCTGGTATCCCTGGCTATCTGATTACCTCGGAGTTGTACTCAGCCAGGTAAAACACAGCTACACAGCAGGCGACAGCCACGCCCGTTGAGACAAGCCAGGCTGCTATGTGAGCAGAAAAGCGGGCCAGCTGCTGGCGGAATGTGAACTTGACATTCTCCTGGAGGATCTCGGACAGGTTCTCCTGCAAATGCAAAAAAGTCAAGCTCCAGGTCTCTCTCCTCTGTTAGCAAAGATCCCCAGCCTGGATCCATGGGTTCATGATGAGCATGGACTATGGGAGAACTCAAAATGACCAAGAACCCCATCACTACGTCAAACCCCATTCCCCTCTCAGAGGAATGGACAGAAGTAAATAGATTGGGACCCTGTTGTTGAGGAAAGTGTGTTGAGGTCATGGGGCTCTTTTTTTTTTTTTTTTTTCCGGTACCAGGAATCGAACTCATGACCTTGCACTTGCCAGGCAGCACTGTGCAGCTGAGCTAAATCCCCAGCCCATGGGGCTCTTTCTTGACAAATGACTCTGGGACCACACAGTGCAAGAAGTCAATATCTGTGGATTTTTGGTCGAAGTCCCTCTTGACAAGTTCTGCTTGCTTTCTTTTTTGTAAAGTGGTTTCTATAGACCAGAATGCTTAGCCTCCATCTTACTGACGTTTGGGCTGGATAATCCTGGGGTGGGTGCCATCCTGTTCCTTGTAGGCAGCTTATCAGCACCCATGGCCTCTACCAACTAGAGGCCAATAGCACCCTCTTCCGAACAGTAGCAACCAAAAAAGCCTACAGACCTTGCTAAGTGTCCCCTGAGGAGCAAAACTGCTCTAGACTGAAAACCACTGCTCTGGGATAAAATTATAAATCTGGGACTATGGGACCAAAAAAAATATGCAATTTAATATTTTGACATAAATTGCTAAATTGGCCTCCAGGAAGGCTGTATCAATTTAGAAAACTGCCAAGTCATGTGAAAAGGCCCATTCCCCTACACTGTCACTCGCACGAGGCATTATGGATATTTACCTTTTACTGTTTATGAATCTCACAGGCAATGAAAAGGTAATTCTTTATTACTTTAAGATGTTATAGAAGAGGAGGGAAGGAGATGGGCCATGGGAAGTCAGTGGGAGGAGTGAGCTTGCCTTACCCTTATCTCCGTGCTAAGATTCTTCTGCTTTAGCTTCACAGCTTTTTCGTGAGTGACCGTGAAGTCCCAGCAGAAGATAAGTTTAGCGATCCCTCGGGAGTACACGTGGGGGTTAATGAAGTTGTTCCGGAAATACTTGGCCATGCTAGGGAAGACAGAAACCCAAACGGCCAAAGGGTTATACGACAGGAATGGGGAGAACAGGGATTAGCCAAAGGGTGGTCCTACCCTTCAGAGTGAAAGGCAGTACCAAAGATGGAGCCCGACACCCTTCACCCAAAACAGCGTGAATACAAACCTAAAGGTCAAGAGCTTTGGAAACAGACCAGGCTTGTAACCTAATCCTGGATCTAACACTTGTGGGATCCTTGTCCCGTTCACCATTCTACACCTTGGTTTCCACATCTGTGTAATAAGGATAATACTAGTATCCACCTCACAGAGATATTATGAGAGTTGTATTCATTTCCTGCGGCTTTTACAACAAATTACCATCAGCCTAGTAAGTTAAAACAGCAAAGCTATTATTATCTTATATTTCTGTAAGTCAGAAGTCAACAAATGGGTCTCAAAAGCAGGGCTGTTCTCCTTCCAGAGGATGCAGGGAGAAATCCCCTCCCTTGCTTTGTCCCACAATCCATTTGAGGGCTCACCCCAAGACCTGATGACTTCCCGCGAGGCTCCACCTCTTTAAGTTTCCACCAGCTTCCAATAGTGCCAAGTGGGGATCAATCTTTAATACAGGCCCCATTGGAGGACCTTCCCCATGCAAACTAAAGCAACAGTCACTTTCAAATCAAGGAGAGAGGTCCTTGGAAGATATTAAGTCTACTGATCCTTGGTCTTGAACTTATGACCTCCATTATTGTGAAATAAATCTTTTGTGGTACAGTGATTCATGAACTTGATTCTTTTCATGATTCTTGTCACAAGCCAAGTTGGATGAGAACCAAATCAAATTCAGTGGTTAGGTTCAGTGTTGACCTTATGGGGAAATTTGGTTTGGTTCTCACCTAGTTCTGTTTGCAAGCAGAATCATGGAGATGACTGAGTTCGTGAACTGAGGTACCCTGTGTTTTGCTCCAGCACGCCTAGGAAACGAGTATACACATTTTCAGTGTATATTTCCAATGTGTACCTCCTCTCTGACATTTGTCCAGACTGCTGCGTGGGTCACCCCATCATTATTTTCACACTGACCCACTGCTTCCAAGGCACACATAAGCCACTCATCCTCTGCTGCGCTCACACTTTACTCTGTAGGACAAGGAACCATTAGGCAGCAGTAGGAAGTCAACACTGCAGAGAAGTCGTTACTTGGGGGTAATTTTGGAGTTTCTTGGGTTTTTGCCTACATTTCAAATAAGCCTCAAAATCAGGGTATGCAGATGCTCTGTACCTGTAAAGCAAACTGAAGAAGCAGACGATCAGGCACGCTCCGATTGTGAAGATATAGGCCAGCTGCATGTCATAGGAGACCCCACTGCTCCCGTGCCTGATCGTAGAATTGGTGTAAAAGCCATAGTACATCACTGTTTTCGTAAAATAACCCTGAAGAGGAGAATAAGGAGATCCAGGTCAGGTGGAGCTCTTGAGAAAATGGTGAATGAGTGTGGTCAACTCAGTTGACCGTTTCTGTCTGCAGAAAGCTTGGGCCAGTTGTGTGGACATTCACAGTGATCCCTTGGTATCTGATGGGGAGCAGTTCCAGGACCTCTGCAGATACCAACTATAGATGTTTGTGTCCTTCATGGAAAATGGCAGACTATTTGCATATAACCTGCCCACATCCTCCCATATACTTTACATCATCTCTAGATTTCTTACAGGATCTAATACAATGTAAATAGTTGGTATACTGTATGATCTAGGGCATAACAAGAAAAGTCTGTTTATGTTCAGTACTGATGCATTTTTTTTCATATATTTTCAGCCTGTGGTTAATTAAAACAAGTCAGAATAGGTGGATCAAGAGCTCCAACTGTACTTTGTCAGAAAAGAGGCATCTGAGACCACTAAGGACGAACATAGTTTCTTAGTAGGCCCTTAGAGCTGAAAGGATCCCACACCAGCATGACTTGACAATGCTGGGACCCAGCATTACCATCCAGTCCCACTGACCAAGCCAGATATCACCAAAAGCAGGACACCTAGGTGTCATGTGTGTCTGTCACCTGTTCATGATTATGGCCAAACATGCTTACTAGGAAGCAGATGAAGTGTTTCTGTCTACATTTCAGTTTACAGGAAATAAGGAACAGAGAAACAAAGTAGACAGACCACAAGGAAATAATCAGGTAATTCTAGAAGGTAGGACACTAGGGCCTCCAGTTTCTGTAATAAGCCAATGTCAAAAAGAAGATAGGAGGGGTTAGGGTTGGGAAGGTTAGTCTAGATTAATAAAAATTTAAAGAGAAAAAACTAGAATGCAAAGTTTGGTCTCTGACAGGATTCTGGCTGCTAAGCAAACGATCAATGACATTCCAAGGAAAATGTGAATATTTGGATTTTTTTATAATATTAACTTTAGTTTGTGTGACAGTGGTGTTGCATTCTGTTTTGTTTTTGTCTGTTTGTTTGTTTTCCGGTATCAGAAATTGAACTCGCGACCTTGTGCTTGCCAGGCAGGAGCTGTCCCGCTGAGCTAAATCCCCAGCCCTGTGACAAGTGGTATTATAACTGTAGAAACATGTCCTTATTTTTCAGCATGTTGAAGAATTTCAGAGTAAAATGGCTATGATTTTATTTAAAATGTAAATGTCTACAATTTATTTTAAAATGCTTCCAGAGCAGGCCATGGTGGTACATGCTTATAATCCCAACATTTGGGAGGCTGAGGCAGGAGAATTGCTGCGAGTTCAAGGCCAGCCTTGACTATATAGTGAGTTCAAGGATGGTCTGAACTACATAGTGAGACTCTATCTAAAAAAAAAAAAAATAATGCTTCCAGAAACAATGAAATAAAACAAATACGGAAAAATTTTAATCTACATAGTGGGTGTATGGGTATTTATTATACTCATTTTTCTTTATGCTTTGAAGTGTTTCATAATAATTCTTCCCATATATGAATGTACATGGTATTTGAAGGAGAAGGAATAAAATGAACACGTGTATACAATAATTCCATTTTACAGCATTTCTCTCAAGGAGGATTTTTTTTAATGGGGAAAGAGAAAAAAAGACAAGTGATAAAACTTTACTATGGATGTTCTACTGCAGGAATAAGAGATCTTTTTCTGTAAAGACCTAGACAGTAAACAGCGTCAGTTTTATAAGCCTGATAGCTGCCTGGGCAGTTACTCACCTCATCAGCATAAAATAAAAGCAGCAGAGATAAGAAAACTAAGTGGTTGTGACTGTGGTCCCAAAGAACTCTTCGGACACTAAAATTTGAATTTCTCTTTTTTTGTCTTTTTGGGGCAGGGTCTCACTATGCAGTTCAGGCTGACCTTGAGCTCACTTTGTAGCTCAGGCTGGTCTCGAACTCACGACAATCCTCCTGCTTCAGCCTCCCAAGTGCTGGGATTACAGGCATGCGCCACCATGCCCAGCCAAAATTTGGATTTCTTAATATTTTCTTGTTTCACATTTTTTTTTTTTCATTTTTGGTTCCTTTTCAACAACTTCTAAATGTAAAAACCCATGTTAAATTCACATGAGAAGGCAGCAGGCTGGATTTGGCCCTGGGGCTATAGTGTAGCCATGCCTACTCCACAGAATCTCAGAGGCAGAAATGGCTTTAAGGTTAACTCTGAGACTGGGGCCAGATGCTTTAGTAGGGAGCTGTGTACATGAATTATGGTTGTTATTAAAAAGAATACTGTAATTTCTCAAAATGTTCATGATATATCGTAAGACAAAAAAGGGTACAAAACACAGCATATAAGAATAATCCTATGCTTATTTTAAGTTTATTTGTTTATTTGCAGTGCTGGAGGTGGAACCCAGGGCCTCATTCATGCTAGGCAAGCGCTCTGTCACCAAGCTACCACCCCAGCCCTCCCTCTCTCCTCTCCCCTTTCCTGTCTCCTTCCTCTCTCTCTCTCTCTCTCTCCACTCTTCCCTTCTGCCCTTCATCCCCCTCTTCCCGTCTCCTTCCCCTCCCCTCTTCCTCTCCTTTCCCCTCTCCCTTTCCTCTCTCTCCCCAGGACTGGGGATTGAACTCAAGGCCTTTGACCTGAGCCTGAGCATCACCATCACAATTTTATTTTTCATTTTGAAACAGGGTCACTGCTGTCCACTGCTAAGTCACTCAGTTGCCCAAGTTGCACTCAAACTTTTGATCCCACTCCTTCAGCCCCCAGGGTCCTTGGATTACAGGTGTGTACAACCCTGCCTGGCTGTCCTTTTATTTTTAAAAGAATCATTATGCATGTATCTATGACACTGATAGGTCAGTGTTTGCATAGGGAGAATAAAAGTCTCCAAAAGTATACCCTAAGCTGGGGTGTTAGACAAGGAGAGAGAGGTAAAGTGGATTTTTTCTTAGTTCTCTTTGATGGTAGAAATTTTCCCAAAGGAGCATTGCAACTTGTAGAAATCAAAAGAAAAAAGAAACATAGGTCTCCAGCAGGAGGAGATGCCCACTATTATTTGATGAAAGAGAGCAAGTCATAGATAACATATACTGAATAATTCACCTGTTGTAAGAAAAGAAAGGGCTACCTGTGGAAATGCAAAGATGCGTTGACAAGTGTGCAAAAAAGAGGCAGCAGTGTGGATAACTGTGGCTACCTCTGGGGGCAGAAATCCAACAGTGTCACACACACGTCACTTGAGGGGAGGGAAATAGTTTAAACATCCACTTTCCCGCACCCTCCCGGCAAAACGAGGGGACAGGGTAGGTGACCACAGGGGACGTCCCTGGATCTCCCAGGTGGCGAACTCACCGCCCCAGTGAGAAATTCCAGCCCGGTGAACTGGAGCGTGTTCCTTTCAGCCACCGTAAGCTGAGGGATTACAATGAAGCTAAAGTTCAAGATGAAGGAGAAGATGTTGAACTTCAAAAGCCACCTCAGGAAGTTGAAATAGGAGAGGACACTGGTTCCAAACTTGCCTCCGATGACCTTGAGTGTCTTCTGCCACAAGCTGATGGAACTGAGGAGCTCAGAGAGACTGTTCTTGGATCTCCGATAACCCTGGAGTTAGAAAGCAGAAGAGGCGGTTGGATTTTCATTCAGCAAGGATCTCCTGAGCAGGTGCCATAATAGCAAAATATAACCACCGCGGCTACAGCACCACACATGCATCCCTGCACCGTGAGCCGTGGGGTTACAAAGCTTCCCTCATTAGTTCTCACAGCCACCCTCTAAGGTTCTGCTGTTACCTTCCCGGGTTCGCTGTTGAAGAAGGTGACACTCGCACTGTCAGAACCTTGAGTCCTTCTAGATTTTCCCATGCCCCTTCCTGTCCCCATACCTATAGTGACGTGATGGGGCTGGGAATGAAATAGCCCTGGGTTTTTGTTTTCACTCTCTGCGCTCCCTGTTTTCTCCTGCTTGCTGGGCTTGTCTTAGTGTGGCAATGTAAACAAGCACACCCATTAGGAAGGGTCCTCAAAACACTAAATATGGAAGACTATCTGATCCTGCAAACCCACTTCTGGATATATATCCAAGGAAGTGAAGTCAGCACACCAAAGTCATACCAGCAGGCCCAGGCTTATTGAGACACTATTCACAATATCTGATATATAGAATCATCATAGGGGTCCATTAGTAGATGAATGGATAAAGAAAATGTGGCACATGTCTATAATCCCAGCATTCTGGGAGGCTGAGACAGGAGGATCTCATAAGTTCAAGTCCAGTTTGGCCAACTTAGTGACTGAGTGAGACCCTGTCTCAAAATAAAAAGAGCTGGGGGTACACAGAGACCCTGTATTGAACCCCTAGTACCACACACACACACACACACACACACACACACACACACACAAAGACACGATAAGGGTAGGGAATGCTGATTACCCTGATTTGATCAGTGCATCCTGCATGCATGTGCTCAACTATCACGCTATACTCTACTAACACGTGTAACAAAAACATTTGAAGAAAGAGTCTGACTTACCAGAGAAATGGAGCTCAGACAACGAGCACAGCAATTGAGCTGGAGAGTACGATGGGGCTGTTTACTTTTCTCTTTGTCAACTATGTTCCTGGTGGGGGTAGGCAGGAAAAAATGAGACACTGTCATTCATTCATTCAATCAATCATTCATTCAATCATTCATTCATTCTGTATAATAGCTACTGAACACCTGCTATGTGCCAGCTGTGTTCCCAGGTAGTAAGAAAAAGAGACCGCTTTCCCTGGCCTGTGGGGCTGACATTCTAGTTGGAAGAGAAAACAATTAATGATAAACACAGCAATAAAAGGAGTAAACTATGAAATATTAGTAGGCGATTTACACTACTATACACAGAATGGGGTAAAGAGATGGGAAATGCTGGCTTGGCGACCATGGGACAGTGTGAAACAGGGTCACGTCAAGGCATCCTCCTCTCTGAGGGAGAGGAGGGCTCGTCATATGGATGAGGGAGGACTGCACAGTGGAAACAGACAGTGCAGAGCCTCAAACAGGGGCAGAAGGGCAAGGAGGCCAGCGTGGCCAGAAGGGAAGGAGCAGAGGACCAGGAGGGCGATGGGAATGAAGGCGTAGCGTGGGCCATCCGTGTGCAGCAGTGGTTCTCAGCCTGGGGCGACTTTGACCTCTGGGGGACACGCGGCAATGTCTGGAGACTTCTCGGTTGAACTGGGGATGCGGGGGGTGGGGCGTGGGGTGGGGCGCGGGGGATGCTCCTGACAGCCACAAGGCAGAGGCCGGGGATGCTGCTGAAAAGCCTGCAAGGAACAGGCAAGAACCCCAGTAGAGAATGGCGCAGCCGCGAATGCCAGCTGTACTGAGGCTGCGCAGTCCCTGTGACACGGGAACCGCGCGGAGCTGAAACAGAAGAGTATTTTGAGACCGACGCGATCATTGCTCTCTTCGCCCTTCCACACACTCACAGGTCTGTTTGCTGACTCCTCCTGGCTTTCCTCAGTCCTCCCCATCACTCACCCACACATCACCCTCCTCCCAGGTCCGTCTCAAGTGCCCCTCAAGTGCCCCTTCTGGCCCCAGTGAACTGTGCCCTTGCTTCCTGCTGCTCCAGCTGCTCCCTGCTTCCCTGATGTGTGCTGATTTCCTGTCAGCCGCTTCTAAGTTACTTGTTGACAAAACTATCTCCTCTGTGAGGCTTCGAAATGTATCTTTGCAACCTCAATGTCTGCCTCAGAAAAACTGGATCATTGGATTGTTTATTAGTAGCTGTGGTTGCCAATGATTACAAGTTGCAAAAAGCAAAAGGAGGAGCGGGATGGAGGTCTGGCTCCGTGGCACAGCACCTGTTCGGGAGGCCCAGGGTTCTGGAGGTCCTAAGTTCACTGCCAGCACCAACCCCCAAAATTTTTTTTTGGAGGAGAAATAATGCGAAGCCTAAAATCTAAAGCGACCCTCGTCTTTCTTTTTGAATTTCTGGGCTTAAGTAAACTTTTAGAATTGTACAGTGGTTTGAACTTTACAGTGACAACTACTAAAGACTGTACAGAGTTCCCACGTGGCACTCACCAGTTTGATAACATTTTTCAATGTTAGGTTTGTTCAAATTAAGAAACCAACATTGGTACAGAAACGCCACTCTTCAGGGTCCTACCAATGTCCATTTTCTGTTCTAAGACTGTCCAGGTCCCCACATTTACTTGTATGTCTGTCTGTCTGTCTGTCTGTCTCTTTTACTTGTCACATCTTTTTTATTGTCTTCTATTCTGTGACAGTTTTTCAGACTCTCCTTGTGTTTGACGACCTTAACAGTTTCAAGGGGTACTGATCAGGGACTTTGGAGGAGGACTGGCCCATTGGTTTTCTTGGTCAGACTAGGGCTCTGAGTTTCGGCAGAGAATCCCCAGAGGGCCTGTGCCTTTCTCAGCACATGACTTACCTTTGAGGATCTTGACCTTGAGCATCTGGCTGAGGGAGCATTGGCCAGAATTCACCATAAAGTTCCTTTTCTCTTTCCATAGTCTCCCCTTTTGGAAGCAATTCACCAAGCACAGTCCCCAGCCAGCCAAGGGAGAGGGGTTAAGCACCAACTCCCAGACCAGCATCTATGTAGATTATCTGGAATTCTTCTATAAGGAGGATCTATTTTCTTGCATTTATTTATTTCTTGTCTTTTTGAGACAGGGTAAAAGTAAATGTCTGAGATTCACATGAAATCTGAGAGAGAAGACAATCTTTGGTTTGTACCTGAGCTTCCTTTTCTCCTCCATGGTCCTTGGCTGGTTCCTGATGGTTTTAATTCTGTCTCTAGATGTCATGGGTATCAGGGATTCGATTAACTTTTGCCCTGTGAAAGAAAATAAATGGAGTTCAATTTCCTTCATCTTTTTTTTAAATTTTAAAAATAAAAAAGCCAACAAAACAACAATGAAGACAAAATCAAAACAGCACAAAAACAATATATGACCTCAAAAGAAAATGATAGGAATTAACAATGGTTGCTACATTATATACTGTTATCCTCAAAGAAGTTGCTCAGTCCACCAGACATAAGAATGTAAGATTGATCAAACAATCAAAGATAGTAACAAGTAATTAAAAAAAAATTGGAAATGATGCAAAGCTTCACCATACAAGATGGTAGGAATGCCGGGCATGGTGGCGCATGCCTGTAATCCCAGCACTCGGGAGGCTGAGGCAGGAGGATCATTGTGAGTTCGAGACCAACCTGGGCTACAAAGTGAGCTCAAGGCCAGCCTGAACTGCATATCGAGACCCTGTCTCAGAAAGACCAAAAAAAAAAAAAAAAAAAAAAAAAAGATTGTAGGAGTTCAACAGTGGTTCTTATACTGCATATTGTTGTTTTCAGATCAGTCATTCTGATTACCAAATTCAAGCATACAAAATTGGTCAAGAAAATTTTAAGCATTGACTGTTTCTTTCAATAAACCACAGATATTAGCAATACACCTGTTCCAGCTATCCTTATACATACACATGAATTTTGTTTTTCATTTTAAAAATACAGAATAACAAAAACAAATATATAAACTAAACAGCATAGAGAACAATAATACAGAATTTCAAAACATGGTGATAGGATATTAACAATGGTTGTTATATTACATAATGTCATCTTCAAAATGGCTGCACATATAACCAGATACAGGCATGCAAGACTGATCAAATAATTACACACTAACAGTTCCTTCAATAAACCAACAGATATTAGTAGTACAATTATCCTAGCTATCATGTGTATACATATACATATTTTTCCCACCTCCTTCTTTCTTTTTCCTCTCCCTTCCTTCATCCCAGTTGTTCCTTCCTATTTGAGCAGTTTCTTTTCCCTTCTTCATCTTTAACAGAGTCATAACATTTAAAAATATGGCGTTGAAGTCAGAGCATGTTTTATAAGAGCACAAGGACAGAAGAACATATGGACCCAAGGACTTCAAAGATTACAAGTAAAAATAACTGAATATGTGTCAAAGCACAAAGCCAAAGCAAAGGACAAAGTTTTCGATCAATTGTAATTCAATGTTTCTCTTTTATGTGTGGTTAAAAAAAAAAAAGGCCTTTCAGCAAAGCCCTTACACATGCCCAGGCTACCTTTTCTCTCTCACTTTAATTTCCCACACTGCTTCCTTTTGCTCTTGACTCTAGGCCAAATGACTTTTTATTCTCTGACTGACTGCTGTGATACGCTCTTCCAACCCCCTCCTCTCCTGCTGATCCATATTCACATTTTGTTCCAATGTGGCATTCACAGCCCGTTCCTCTCCTACCCCAAAGTCACTCTTCCTTGTGAACAGTAGAACTGTGCTTGAATCTACCCCACCTCCCTCCCAAGCTTCCTTGGGGCAGGCCCATTCCCAGGCACAAGGTCCCAATGAGTCTGAGACAATCTGGATGGTCAGGTCCGCCTTGTGGGTGTCTAGGCAAAGCAATGTTCTCCAAGTGATGGTCTGCAGAGAAGTCCCTTGGAAAAGGCTTTCTTCCTTCACAAAACAAAACAAAACAAAACAAAACAAAACAAAACAAAACAAAACACAGGCCTAGGGTATAGCTCAGTGGTAGAGCACTTGTCTAGCAAGGCACAAGGCCCTGGATTCCATCCTCAGCACTGTACACACACACATACACACCACACACACACACACACACCCCAATGGATCCTTCTTTGTGTGCATATTGTTGTGGCTTTGTCTGACACCTGGAGCTGCTCTGTCACCCAGGGGAGAGGCCAGCTGGGGCAATGAAAGGCTGGAGATGGCTGAGGGACAGGGTTTCTGGCTCACACCACTAAACCAGAACTCCTCATGAGGACACACTGTGTTCATTTTAATAACACAGTTGAGGTGCAGGAGGAATCCCCAGAAAAGGGTCAACAAATCACTCTACCAAGATGAATTTTCCCTTAGCTGGGTGCAGTGACACATGCCTTTAATCTCAGCACTCTAGTGAGCTAAGGCAGGAAGACTGCAAGTTTAAGCCCAGGCTGGGCAACTTAGTGACTCAGTGAGACCCTGTCTCAGTATTAAAAAACAAAACCAAACAAAAAAAGGCTAGGGGATGTAGCTCAGTGCTAAGGCCCTGGGTTCAATCCCCAGTAGCACCAAAGAAACAGAGAAAGAAAAAGAAGTGGGGAGCGAAGGAAGGAAGGAGGGAAGGAGGGAGAAGGAGGGAAAGGAGGGAGAGATGGGAGGAAGAGGAAGAGAGAGAGAGAAATATTTGTCTCTCAAGTCAGGAGAGAAGAATAAAGAAGGGACGACAAAGGGAAACACAGCAGTGCAGGGAGAGAGCCGTGGGAGCAGCAATGCCAATTTTCCGTAAGGGGCTAAACCCACCAAATGCTTTAGTGTGAGTGGATTTTTCTCAGACAGAATCTACTGTTAGTAGACTTTATGACCAGAGTACTAAGGAGTAAAATAAAAACAGCATTTTGTTGGCCTCAGGAGTAGACAGGCCAGGCATTCTCAGCTAATGAACTTGGCAGTAAGTGGGGGCCTATCGACACTCCAAAATCTCAGTGGGGGAAGAATTGGACTAAAGCAGGGCAGTGTGATGGGTAAGGACTCAGGCTTGGCAATCGGGCAGTCCTGCATGTTGTCCCAGACCTGCCAAGTCACTGAATTTCCTTGAGCCTCGGTTTCCTCATTAAGCAAATGGAAATGCCTGCCTAAAGGTGCAGAGGTGAGAAATAAATAAATCTAACCTTGATGGTTAACAGACAGAAGGCGCCACCAAGCACATGAAATAACGGATCAAGGGAAGCCCTGGTTAGTAGTGAGGTCTCAGAGTGAGCACCCCCCTACTCCCTACATCTTCAACATTCCTTGGTGTCTTAAAAATAAAAAACCCTGGGGACAAGCGGTGGGAGGTAGTGCACATCTGTAATCACAGAGAAGGATTGTGAGTCACCTGTCTGGGCAACTTAGCAACTTAGTGCAACATCTCAAAATTTAAAAAATAACTTAAAGGACCGGGGATGTAGTTCACAAAACAACAACAAAGATCCCTGGACAACTTGGAAGCCTTCCGTGCTACTGCCCTAATTCCTCCCCAGTGTTTTATACCTTGAATAGTTTCATGGAAAGTATAAGCAGTGTCTACACCCAGGCTATCTGGGCTATGAAGGGTCTGAGGAATTGATTCATTCAAAGATGTTGAAAATTCTAACTGGTTGTGCTTTTTGTCACTCCTGTGGCTGATAATCAGAGGGTCTCTCACATGGATGTCAGATGTTGATGAGACCATGCTGAAGGCTGAGTTTGCCAGTGGTTTGTCTTGAACAGTCTGAGTTGAGGAGGGATGGCTTTGGATTCCGGAAGGAACATTCTCAATTTCTATGATGATTTCATTCACTCGGTTATCTGACAGCATCTCTAGCCTTATTCTCCACCTGTGGGGTCTTCAAAGACCTCACAGGCAGTCACACTGGGACCCACTGGGGAACAAGTGATGACAGTGATACAGGGATGCTCCATTCACGTTGTTTCAATGCCAGGATGAGATCACCACAGCCAGCTCCACAAAAATCACAACCTAACTTCCCTGCAGCTGTCCCCTAAGGAGTCTTCTCAGGAGGAGATGTGTTTTCCTGCAGAGAATTCTGTCCTGGTAGTTAAGTAAGAAATTAGAAACAGAATCCTTATCAGAGACAATGAGATTCTAGAACCAGAAGACAGAAATTCTTCTAAATGACTCATGGTCAGATGGCAAGATTTTCTTTTTTAATTTAATATTTCTAACCTGGGACTTATAATTTTATATACCTGTGTAAATCCAGGTAGGTTTACAGTATTTAAACTTTCATCTCTGTATCACCCCAGATGATAGACACTGCTGTCCGTCCACTTTCCAACATCCATTCTTTTTTCCATATACCAGAGAAACTGAATTTCCTATGCAGTCACTATACTCAGGTAAGATTTTCTCAGCTTCCTTTGCAGTTAAGGGTAGACATTAGTCTAGGGAACAAGTGGTTTCCAGGTATATGGTTTGAACAGTCTTCCATTCTTACATCTGGTAATCTAAGCAACTTTGCTGAAGATAACAATATGTAATATGACAATCACTGTTAATTCCTATCATTTTGTTTTGAAACTCTGCATCATTTTCAATGTCCTTGCTTTGTTTTGTTTATGTCTGTGATGTTGGCATTTTGCTATTGTTCTTTTTTTACTATTCTCTTTAAAATAAAAAACAAAATAAAATGAAATGGAAAAAAAAATAAAAAGGGAGAAAGATGTCAGGAACCTTGGCCCTTGAGAGCATCTTGAGGGCTGCTGTAAACTTTGGACTTCCTCCCTCCACTCTTTTCATTACATAAGACAAATAAACCTGAATATTGCAAAGCTATTGCTCTGTTTCAGGGCCAGACACCTGAACACAACTCCTGCCCAATAAACCTAACTCAGACATCACTTTGTTTATTTAATTGTTGGAAAAACCGAGGGGCAGAGACATGACTGACACTTCCTGTTGTTGATCACATTCCCATTAAATGGCAGGACTAAAAAAGCAGAAATCCTGACCTAACTGCAGCCATTTTTTCAGTGAAGCTGCAGCCATTCTGTCCTCTGCCACTGAACTCAGCTAAATCATATGATGTCATCAAATTAAAACTGTGAATGTGCTAAACACAACCTTGCTACATACAACTATGCTCCACAACATACCCATTGCACCATGGCCTTCAGCTAAAGCTTACCTAGTTTGTGTAACTTCTGTTTGCCACCCTATAAAAAAAGAAACTCTCTGTAATCAGTGCCTCAGACTCTGGTGATTATTCCTCTGGAGTCTGTTGGCATTAATAAAATTTCCTTTCTTCTCCTGAGCTCCTGGCTACTGTTGACTCAATTTTCCCACAACACTAGAACTCAAGAACTCCTCTCAGAAATGATAGTTATCAGACTATCATTGACTGCAGATCGAACACCTTAAACAGAGTATAATTTACTTCTCACAATCACCCTACGAACTAGGCACTAGCGTCAACCTCATTTTATAGCTAAAACTCAGACTCCACAAAGTAATTTTCCTAAGTTCACAGAATCAGCAAGTAGTAAAAGTAGGAGTCCAACCCAGGTCTGAATTCAAGGTAGGTTAGCACTTCGTTGTGGCCCCTTCCTGAAACAAGAGATTGATGTCTCATTCACTCAACTATAAACAAATATTTATGAGTGCCCACTATGTGTGAGGATGGCATAACCCGTTCAAGTGACACTTTATTATGAAACTATTCATCAATTAGTTTTATGTGGTTTGAAAATAAAAACCAGTGCAAGATAAAACAGCAAAGAAATTCAGGTCCTCTACTTCCTTACTTCTCTCTGCCTTTGGGGGACTCCATCTCAAACCTCATGCTGGCTGGCTGGAGTGGTCTTATGAAGGTTAAAGCCATTTCCTTTCCTTGATTGTTAAAGCCAATCTTGTCTCTTACAATAAAAATGTGTGGTTCCAGTGCCTATGCTCTAAACAGAGTGGGCAGAGTCTTTCCCTGGCATCGAGGGACAAACCAGGGAGAAAGGAGGGCCTTTCAAGGAGGTGGCCACGCTGACCAGTTTCTATGTGGGGCCAATGGCCTGATTCTGATACAGATGGAGAAGGTCAAGTTTATAGAGAAGCTGAGTCAAGCAGAGCTGGGAAATGGATGGAAAGCACACAAGTCCAAGTGGTACTGAGCCCTTACTTCACAGTCTGAGGCCCTGATTTCTCTAACTCCTTCAACAATTTAATCCACCAAGTATCTCTAAAATACCTACCACATGCAGGTTACTGTATGAGGAGCTGGAAGCAGTTTACTTTAGGTTCTGTAAGTTTCTTTTTTTTTTTTGTCTGTTTGTTTTTTGTTTTTTTCCGGTACCAGGAATCGAACTCACGACCTTGTGCTTGCCAGGCAGGCGCTTTGCCGCTGAGCTAAACCCCCAGTCCCAAGTTCTTTAAGTTTCTCCCATACCCTTCCCACCAAAAGAGCCAATGAACGTCCTGGGGCTAATGTGCATTTGAATTGAGTTTCTATCACTTGCAACCAGAGGATTCCTAATGAAGACACCTTGATATCTAGAAAAGAAACCTGCTGTTTGAAATAAAACTCCAAGGGTTGGTGGTGTATATCAGGGGTAAGAGAAAGTGCTTACCATGTGCAAGGCCCAGGATCCATTCCCCAGCACCAAGAAGGAAGGAAGGAAGGAAGGAAGGAAGGAAGGAAGGAAGGAAGGAAGGAAGGAGGAAAGGAGGGAGGAAGGGAGGGAAGGAAGGAAGGAGAGAGGGAGGGAAGGAGGGGAAAGAAAAAGACAAGACTCCACTATGAGAAATGAAACAAATGATGCATCCAATACCACACCAGATGCCAAGAGGATATGGCAATATCCGGGTTTCCTTGAATATGTTTCTTTACTAGCGCTGGTTTTGGGATTGCAGACCACTGAGCCTTACCTTGGGGTGACTTGTGCCAATCACATTCAGATAGCAGTAGGTTTCCATTAGCACGGAGAGGGCTATTTTCACCCATAAAAGCAGGGTTCACTGGAATGAAGAGTGGGGAGAAACTGCCAGTCAGTCTCAGGACCCTAGGTACTAGTGAGCACATAATGGTTATTGTGTGCTAATAATGGCTACTAACACCAAGATCTTGCCTTTGAGGTTCTAACAGACCCAGGATTAAGATCTTGGGTAGAAAAAAGAACAAAAATCAAAAACAATGTCATTAAGTATTACCAATTTGGATCAATGGTTTTCATTTGACTATAAGTCATGAATAAAAATAATTCCTACACTGAGATACAAGGCACACCTATACTTATGTAACTTAGGTGAAAAATAAGTTTCAGAAAACAATACTTTGACTACAGAAACTTCATTTTGATATATTCTTACCCTTTTTCACTTTACTTTTATTTATTTATTTATTTTTTGGTACGGGAATTGAACTCAGGATCTTTTTTTCACTTTACTTTTATTTATTTATTTTTTGGTACGGGAATTGAACTCAGGATCTTTTTTTCACTTTACTTTTATTTATTTATTTATTTATTTATTTGGTACGGGACTCGAACTCAGTGCCTGCTTTGCCAGGCAGGCACTTGTGCCGCTGAGCTATATCCCCAGCCCTTCACTTTACTTTTAATTTTCATCTTAATTATTTTTGAAAATAATTAAGTTCTAGTTTAAAAAGTTCATTTCTCAACTTGTTTTTGTTTGTTTGTTTGTTTTTCCTCCGGTACCAGGAATCAAATTCATGACCTTGCGCTTGCCAGGCAGGCACTGTGCCACTGAGCTAAATCCCCAGCCCTTCCAACTTGTTAATGAGTTACAATTCAGAGTCTGAAAAGTACTTTTGTAGATGAATAACAAAGGTTCCTTCCAGCTCTAGCATTTTATGATGACAGATGAATAAACTTAAAATATGGCATGACTGCCTTAGGGACATTTCTTTTTGAACCTCAGTTGTACCATGTGCTAAGGCAAAGGAGCTGTGACTACCTAGAAGGTAGATGTACAGATTAAGTGGGATAATAAAAGTAAAATGCCCAGCAGTCTCAGCACAGAAAACAGTTAAAGCCTATCCATATTATTCATGCAATTTACACTAGGGTGGGGTAGGTAGATTTATCAGTCTTTTCATTATCAATTCCCAAAGGTTTTCATAGATCTATTTATGAACTCTAGGTATATCTGTACTTTATATAAAAAGAGGAAGGTTGTTTTCTGGCTTTTCAAGAACAATCTCTTTCCCCATCTTTGGGTTTGCTATTGCCTTCTACTGAGAATGTAAGGATAAAGGTTTAGAATATCTTTGGGTTGACCAACTGACATTAGGCTCCCAAATGAATTGTAGTTTACATACAAATGTTTAACAATCAGTGTTTTTCATTATGATAGTTTGACTTACAATTTTTGTACTTTATGATGGTGGAAAGTAATATGCATTCAATAGAAACTAGACTTCCAAAATTTGAATTTTGAGGGGTATGTAGCTTAGTAGTAGTGAAAGTAGTGAAAGGGAAAGACTATACCAGAAAAATTGTTCTTTTTATTCTTTGTTCTTTTTGAAACTGCCTAGCTCTGCAACTGCTTCATGGCTCTATAATTACTTTCTAATTGGACATCTTTAGGAGGTACTAGATTAAAGGTGCCCATAAGCATTCCTTATGCCCCCAAAAGTGATTTTGTTTGCCCACTCAATGCTCTAAATTTTTAAAAATTATTTTGGAGCGCATGAAATTCAAGAAGTGCTCTAGTTTAGGCATAGTATGATGTGTCCTCCAGAAGTTCATGTGCTGGGGTCTTGATCTTCATTGTGGTCATGTTTATGTTGTGGGACCTTTAAGAGGCACGGCCTAGAGAACACAATTAGGTCATTGGGGTGCTGTCTTCAGAAGGAATTAATGCTGGTCTCACAAAGCAAATTTGCTCTCCCAAGAGTGGGTTCTTATAAAGCAAGGCCGCCCATGTGCTTGGTCCTTCTGCACATGGCTGGTTTTCCTTCCTGCTTTCTGCTTCTCTGCCATGATGTGATGCAGTCAAGTCTCACCAGAGGCCAAACAGATGGGGCCACCTGATCTTGCACTGTGAGCTACATAAGCCTCATTTTCTTTACAGAATGCCCAGTCTCAGGAGGTATTTTGTTATAGCAACAGAAAATGGACTCATACAGAAGACTTCAAAAATTTTTTCTGACTTCTTTTGAGAACTCTTAGCGTTTTACTACACTGAGTCCACATAACCACAGTGGGCCACCTCTGCCATGTAAGGCAGACACAGGGCACACAGGCTCCCATTTTCCACATGCCTTACCTGGCTCGCTTTGACCACCAGCTACACCTGGCTTCCCTAGACACTGACTTGTCAACTCTTGTATTTAAAGAAGGTGTTTGAAGGGGAAGCAATAAGCCATTTCTTCTATTGCTATGGCTACTTAACCTCTGAATCCACTGGATTTTGCTTTCTTTTAGGACATCATCTTCTTAACACATGCTTACCATAGCCATTTCCAGGATCACCTGGTAGAGAGTGGCCATATGGATTTGCCATCTCCACTGATGTCATTTCAATGCTTTCAGGGTAATCTTCATTCTCTCCTCCAAGGATGCCCAAGGGCCCACTACCCCTGCAATGAAATGAGAGTTGGACTGAAGATGTTCTGCTTAGCACCCTAAAATCCCAAACTGATGGGTCACCATTCACCCAGGGGTGTGGTAAGGACAGCCATTCAACAATCTATCCATCTTCTCATCCATTCCACAAATGCTGGCTGAATGTCAACCATGTGTTAGGCGTGGGCAAGATACAAAGATAGACATAGGTATTTGCCCCAGGAAACTCCCAACACAATCTGGTATAGTTCTGGTGTTATGGGTGTTATTTTTGAGACAGGGTCTTGGGAACAGCTGAAGCTGGAAAGTAATTATACATGCAGGATGAAGCCAGATCGAGAACACAGGAGCTCCTTGAAGCATGTAAACAAACCGTTGTAGCTTGTTAACTGATTGCTAGGCAGAGAGGCTGAAGTTAACCTTTCGAGGGTGTCAGAGAAATGCTCTACTGTTCTTGGGCAGTTCCCCTGCTCTGCTCAGGAGAGAGAGGATCTCCACCTGATACCAGCTTTTTGTCTCTTGTCTATTTTTTCCTCATTCTCACTGCCGTTCCTTCCCAGGGTACAGCAAAAACCCAGTGGATCTGTACAGGGCTCACTAGGCAGTTCAGGCTGGCCTCAAATTCCCAGCAGTCCACCTGCCTCACCCTCCCAAGTGCTGAGATTATAGGACTGCACCATCATACTCAGCAGGCCGAGCTTCTTAGACACAGCAAAGGGTGAGTATAATACTGGTAGAAGCTGAGGGATATCAGAAGATGCGCCCAAGGTATTTAGAGGAAGGAGAGAGAATGCTGGCTGGAAGTTTTTGGGGAAATGGTAAAGAGACACCTGAGAGGAAATTGGCAGAAAATTCATATATAGTTGAGGGATGGCATCGCAAGGGTAAGGAACGGCAAAGTAAAGATTTGAGGCCAGATAGTATGGAATAAAGGAAATGTTATAAAAATTGATTAACCTGCAGCAATGATTTTCAATTCTACATATACTGGTTCCCAGGCACCATACCAGACAATTAAATCAGAAGTTCTGAAGGTTGGGCCCAGGCATCTGTATAACTTTTATTTTTAATGTTTCCCAGGTGGTAAAGTAATTCAAAGGATTGGCGAAATTCAAGAATCACTGAGTGTAGGGTTGAGGCAGGGAGGGGACAGGAAAGCCAGATGAATCAGGCCTGTCCTGGGCTGGCACCTGATGTCAGCAGTGTCTCCTCATTCATGAAGTGATGTGGCCTTTCTCCCACAAGTAATGGGAACACACAGAAAATGAAAACAAGAAGAATGACGGGAGCAAAGGGGTTTCTTGGAATGATGATGCAAGAAATGAGCAATAAGATGAAGGAGGGCATTTTGACCTGATTCCCTTAATCCCACTTTTCAGGCGCAAAAGACATTTTAACTGTTGCATGCCCAAATCCTATACAGTTGTTCTCATAGATAAATACAGGGCTTTGATTTTCATCAAATTCATAGCTATGACTAGTAGAAATACTAAATGCTCAGTAAGACTCATGTCAGTTAAAGTTTCACATGGAGATAGGGGTGTAGCTCAGTAGTAAAGCACTTGTCTAGCACATGCAAGGCCCAGCTTGGATCCCCAGGACTGCAAAATTTTTTTAAATTAGTAAAATAACACGTGGTAAAACATGTTACAGATTTAAAAACTGACTAAAGAAATACATCTTGTGAACATGAACACTGAAAAACTTCACCCAGGAAAAATAAATTTGGTAGAAGCAAGTCACCCAAACTAATGCTATAAATAATCAGACCTGCACAGGGTAAACTTGGTTGACAAAAAGTTAAAATACTCCAGTCACAATTTAGATCTACGGAATTAAACCAGTAGAAATTGAGCTTGATATTTAAAAATAACTTTAAAGAAGTTCTGACAGTGGCAAAAATAAAATCTGATGAAAATAACAATGCCAAATATCAAAAGAATCAAATAGAGCAATGTTCACATGAAAAGTAATTGCTTCTGGAAACAGTACTTTTTGTAAAATAAAAATGAAAGTGGAAAAAATCAGAAGTAGCTCAAACATCTTGTATAAAAAACAAATTGAGAAGGACTGGGGATACTGCAAACATTGAGCATGTGCAAAGCCATGGGTTTTGTCCTTATCACAACCGAAAGAAAAAACAATGAAGAGTTAAATTCAACGGAATTAGATTTTCAATATTTTCTTGACGAAATCCATTACTATTGACGTGATTGTGGTTAAAATATTTGGATTCATGGCTATCAAGTCAGAGCCCTAATCTCACCGGCATTGTAGTGAGGTCAAAAACAGAGGTCAGCTACTGTGTTCCCTTACAGTAGTCCAGTCATGCTGAAGAGCGTATTATTTTCCTACTTCTACTTGGCCCAGACTCTGCAAAGCACGTTTCTTTTTCTACCTTTAATAGATGTAAAACCTTGCTACCTTTTGCGCTTGTCGGACCAATTTTTCACTCAAAACAGAAGGAACCCAGGAGCTACTTTTTGAAGGAGATCCCGGGATCCCCAAGTCTAGTAACATACTCGGCAGAACCAGCCAGGGACGTAAGGCCCTTTTGGGCAATACTTTTTCTGTTTGTTTCTCTCTCTAAAATCTATGACTCGATGATTATTTCCACTCCCCCGCCCCAGGCTGGAGAACTCAAGGTTTCTCATGGTGCTGGGAGCAGTTTCCTAGTGGTTCTGCCATGCCGGAGGAACGAGGGGACGTGCATGGCCTCTGTGTTTTTCCCAGCCAGTGAGAGGCCCGTGGGTTCACCGCCAGTTTATCTCCGCCTTTATTTCTTCCCTTTCCTGTTTAAGTCAGTACAGAGATTCCAGAAAGGCTGCTATTAACCGAGTAGCCGAGCAGATCCTTCAGGGTCAATGTGTGGGACCTGGCGTGTAGTTTGCCTTCTTGTCCTTTTGTTTCTGTTCTCAGCAATACTTTGCTGAGCTTCCCTACTCTTCTGGGGAAAGTGGCTATTGGCAAATCATCTGCTGCTTGAGTAGGTGCCTGTCCTAGTTTACTCCTTTTTGTGATCCAAGTCTCATCTGTTATTTTCCCTTACATGGCCTTTTATCTCTGAGTATCACTCGTGAGTCACTTTCTCGGGGCCTTGTTTCACCCCAGTCCACCTTTCTGTCATATTCAGTGGCCATTTTCATTCATCCCGTGGCTCAGCCACATAGATTTTGCTATGTTTGTCAGCCATTTTAGTTGGTCATATGGGGGACCACATGGTTCTACCATGCTTGTTTGCCATTTTCTTTGCCTTTTTTTTTTCAACTGGCCTCATGATGTTCAGGAAATCTCAAGGTTGAAGCTGAGAGCTAAGCCACAAACTTGGAGGAAGGTATGGACTCCTCCCCTTTTCTCCTTTGAATTGGGTTAGATCTTTTTCTTGTTTTTCCTAACAGAAATTCAGGTAATTTAGGAACATGTGCTTGGGGCCTGAGTGGAACAAAGGAACAGTAAGTAAAGCTCAACTCAAGTGGCTGTGAGTATGCAAAAGCAGAGCCATCCTGGTTCTTAGAACTTTTTAAGCATTTTAAAAAGTGGTTTCTATTATCAGGGTGAATATGAGGGCTACTGTTCTCAAGTGGTTCCACCCTGATCTCTTAAATGTGTACTGTTTCTCAAGTGGCTAAAGGAGTCCCTGGACAGGGGGCCTGATCTCATGTGAGTTTCTAAGAGGGCCGCTAGAGGGCTCCATTGTTCTTCATGAGGAGTTAGAGGGCTCTTCTCTAGGAAGACACCAGCGCCACTCCAGCTTCCAGCAGAGACACCTGTTTAGTAAGTACCTGAGTCTCACAAGAGATGCTTTGTGGACATGATGGGTCTCCTCTTTCTGCATGGGACACCTTAAGGACCCAGGCCTCACTGTCTCTCTCTCTCTCTCTAGGCCGTGAGAAACACCCTGAAGATTCCAGCCACCTTGCCATTAGGCTGTATCCTTAAAACCTGACAGGTAGCTAGTTGTCCCTGAAGGTAGCTAGTTGGAGCCCCAGGGGCTCCACCCTTCTCTGTAGTGTTTGGGTCCAGTATGAACTAGGAAACAGCAAGAGAAGGGTACAGAATGACAGTCTAAATTACACTAGCGCTCTTCAACTTGTTCTATTTTTTTGCAAAAGGCAAGGAAAATGGTGTGAAACCCCTTTTGTTCAGGTTTTTATGGTTCTCCATCTCTAGAAAGGCCCAAGAACCATTTAAAGAGCTCTTCAAAGGAAAAAACTGATATCGCTGATATCTTGTCCTCAGATGCCCACCTGTCTCTTGGGGATATGGGTCTTTCCCATCTGTTTCCACTACAGGCTAGTGCTCCAGAGAGACCCAGTGTTTTTAAAGATGATCCAATTGCTGGACATGGCCTTTTCTGTGTTCCACAGTTGGGATCTAGATGAGGATAAAAGGAAAAGGGCTGAGGAGAAAATAGGATAGACCAAAATTATGGCTGTCCCAATTGGCAGTGCTTTAAGCACATCCAAGTTGTCCAAGGGAAAACTCAGGCCCAAATAAGAACTGCTAAAAAATAAACAAAACAAACAAAAACTGGACACTGGGTACATGATTGTATCAACTCACCACCCGGGCAGGCCCTGCTCTGTGGCCCAGGTGGTCAATGTGTCTAATTTATGGCACTGGAGGATTAACTGTCCCCACACCCAGAAAGGAGCTAAGCCAACCAAAAATCTCATTTCCCACTCTGATGAAGTCTGAAGGGGCCCAGGGCAACCTGTAATGAATGTATCATCCACAGATATCTCCATCTTCTGCAGGAAACCCTGGGTAACCCTGGATGTCATGAGTAAGTACTTCGGTTCCTTTGGTTTCTGTTTTAGCTTCTTTCTCTAAAAACTAAAAACTCTCCTCTAGATCTAATTGGGATCAAGGAGCACCTTAGTCAGAGCTTTTTTTACTCTTGCTCTGACATGTCACTTCAAAGGCCAAATGTTCAAGCTTGAGTTTTTAATTGTCCCCCAGTGACCTATTCCCTTACTAATGAAAGATTTACTAGCAAAATTGGCAGCATTTCTCCAAATCTAGCAAAGGCCAAAAAGGATTTTGCCTATTGAGATTGTGCCAACACATGCTTCTTGGACACCTCTGAGGTTACTATAAAAATTTGCACTACTCTTAATCCCGCCTCTTTGGTACCTACAAGCTCAGAAGTTAGTCACTGTTGTGAAGAGGTGATTTCCCAGGCCTATGCAGGCAGACAAGACATCAGTGACCTGCCTCTCCAAACCCTGAAGAGGTGTGGTTCATTGAAGTAGGGAGCAGCTGAAGCTGGAAATTGACCACATGTATGATGGCAAGGCAAGCCCTGTTTGAGAACAAACAGAACCGGAGGCAAGCCATGTGAACAAGCTGCCTCAGTCCAGAGAACATCAAGCCCTAGACAACCTAAGCAATGGACATGTGACAGCAAACGACTATGACAGTTGAGCAGTTCTTTTCCTCTCATCCAGAGAAAGGGTTCCATCTGACCTCAGCTGTATATTTTCTCTTATCTTTACTTCTTCATCTTCTCATCATCTTTCCCCCGGCTCCCCGGGGAACTTTGAGAGCCTCTCGGGCCTTGGCACGTTGATAGAAGTAGCTTTGTCCAAGAAGGACATTGAAAGTTAGGTCACGTAGCTGTCAGTTCAGAACAGGTCACTGAAGACAAACCCTTCCCCCAGGGATCTCTGCTCAAAAAACAAAACAAAAGAAAAACAAAAAACCAGACCATATAGCCCTTACTCAGGCATTGATACTAAGCCAAATATATCTTTCTTGTGCAACATGCCCATCGAACAATTTGGAAAAAAGAAGCTTGCTAACTAATAAACAATCATCTATACAAAGCACAAGCAGGAAATCCTACAACAACTCTTAAAGGCAGTCTATCTTCCCAAGCAGGTGACTCATTCATTGCAAGAGACCCCAAAGAGACACAGCTAAAGTTTCTTTGGGAAATCAAAATGCCAGCAGAGAGGCAAGAAGGGTAGCCTAACAGCCCTTCAAGACCCTAGTCCTTTTTCCCAGTGCTTGAGAAACTGTTAAATTGGTCCTCCCACAAGGGACACAATGACAACAAGCTATAAAAACCCTATATAGGAAATGGGCACTTGAATTTTCACAGGACTGAGACCAGAAGAGACCACCAGACAGGTCTGCAAAACTTGTCTACTAACCTTGCCAAGCTCAGATCAGCTCCTTCTTTGTTATAACCTGTACAGAGGGGAGGGACATACCCTAGGGAGGACTGGCAATTATATAGACAGCTCTGCCTGAAGTATATGAAGACAAAGATCTCCCAAGAGAAGAAAGCTACTCCTGTGTACTTCTGGAAGACCTGGGGCTCCTCTTTCAAAACCAAAACTCCAGTACTGTTCTAGGTACAGATACGGAGAGTCACTAATGACCCTAATTCACATCTTAAAACAGGGACCTGCACTGAGATCCAGCTTTTAATTAGATCCATAATGTGGGTAATTTTAAAAAAATATATAGTTGAGGCTACATAGTTCAGCTACATAGTTCAGCTACATAGTTCAGGCTGTACTTAAACTCACTACATAGCTCTGACAGGCCTTGAATTCTCAGTGATCCTCCTGCCTCAGGCTCCCAAGTACTGGGATTATGGGATGCACCATCACGCCTAGCTTCAAAGTGAGTAATCTTACTAAGGCTACTGCTATCAGACTCTCCATAATTTATCTAACATCCTTCTTTGCCATTCTTTCCCCTCTACAGACAGCAAGAAAATCTGACCTGCTCCTTTTCATACTTGGGCTCTACATCCCCAAACTGTTATCACTCTCTTGACAAATTCATCAAACTTTCTCCCTTTGAACAGGCAGCTCAGTAGCTACTAACTCTCTCTGTTGTCTTCTGACAGATTCTTTTTATCCAGTGTAGCTATTGGTAGCCTGTCTCTGGCTTGAGAGATGCCTCCCTCAGCTTATTCCTTTTTGTGCTCAGTCTCATCATAATTTCCCCCTAGATGGCCTTTTATCTCTGGGAATCATTAGTGAGTAGCTTTTTCAGGGCCTTGTTTCATCCCAGCCCACCCCAGTCCATCTACCTGCCATATTCACCAGTCATGTGGCCATTTTGGTTCATCACTGGCCACAATGCCCCAAGGTAGTTGGAAGGCCCATAATCCCCAGTGGGTAGGGCCTACAACCCCTTCCAGCGGGAAGTAGCCCTGTGTGAAGATAGGTACCTCCACTCCCTCAGCATCCCAAAGGATTATTGGGGCTGAGTGTGGCACGGCATGCGGTAATCCCAGCACTTGGAAGGCTGAGGCAGGAGGATAGCTGCAAGTTCAAGGCCAGTCTGGGCTACATAGTGAGTTCAAGGTCAAGATGAACTGCATATTGAAACCTTGTCTCAAAAAGCTGAAAAAAAAGAATTATTGGGATATGTGTCTCTCAGAGGGAAAGGAGGCAGAAGATTAGAGTGTGGTTTGCAAAATGGGCATGACTTGTTCATTGAAAAGTTTCAGGACACATGTGAAGAACAGTTCCCAAAGCCATGCATGTGGACTTCTCCTTGGAACACAAGCAATTTGGGACAGTACAAGCTAGACCCAATGTCAGCCTGAGAAATAGGAGACACAAAAAGACAGTTGCCCTTGAGCTCTGGGTTACTGTGCTCTTTCACAGAAGTCTGCTCTCATGCAGTAGAGTGTACTTTTATCCTACCTTCATTTGACCTAAACTTGTTCTGCAGAGCACATTTCTTTTCCTACCTTTAATAAATATAAAACCTTGCTACCTTTAGAAAAATAGTGAGAGTCTAGATGTGTTACAAGGATCAGAAAAAGATGTAAGAGAATGAAGAGGTAAAAGATTATGTTCAGGTAAGGGCTTTGCACCATAGACTGGGAGTCTATGGCCCATGTGAAGACCATTGATAGGTCTGAGAACTTCACCATAATGCCAGGTCATGGGACCATCACATCTGTCCTCAATCAAAACCACACAAACTAAGTTCCATTGACTTAGTGACATAGAATTTAGTTCCTATCAATGAAAGGATACACCTGCACTTACCACCTAGTCATTTTCCGCGTCTCAGAAGAGCTGTATCCATGACCATCCTTAGCACCTGGGTAATCAGGTTTCCCCCAAAGGTTTAGAGAATTCTGATGGTCCACAGAACCAGGATAGTCTGGTTCCCCAAAAGAGTGGAAAAAGTTGGGTTGATTCTCAGCACCTGGGTAGTCAGGCTGTCCCAGAGAGTCTGTGTATGGACTGATTCTGGAACCAGCATAACCTAGATTCCTTCTAGAGCCTGCATGGTTAAAATTGGCTCTGTGGCCAGGATGGTTAGAGTTGCCTTCAGCTCCAGGGTAGTCTGCTTCTTCCAAGATTCCAAAACGATCTAGCTTTGTTCTGGCATCTGTATAATTTCCACTGACTCTGGAATCTGCAAAATCAGGATCTCTCTGAGATCCAGGAGACTCTGGTTCTCTGGGTGAACCTAAGTGGGGTGGATTGCTCTGGGATTCAGTATAATCAGGCTCTGGCAGGGACCTGTGATAGTCTGGGTCTGTCCTGGAATCTGCAGAATAGGGATTATTCCTGGTGCGGGGATAATCTGGAGTACTTGGAGATTCAGGATAATCTGGTTCTGCTAGAGACCTAGGGAAGTCTAGATTTGTTCTGGAGCCTACAGAGTGTGCATTGCTCCTGGTGCTGGGATAGTCTGGATTGTTCAGAGAACCTGGAAAATCTAGATAATCCTGAGTTTTCAAATACTCCTTATGGTCCTGAGGCCTTGAATAGTCAGGGTAATCTTCATCCCTCGCATAGCTGTTACTCCTGTAGTAGGCAGACATGCTGGTACAGGTTATTTACTCCAGAGTGTTATGACCTCCCCGCGTGTGCAGTCACTGGAGGAACTTTTCATTGATCTGAAAAACAGAAAGGATGGAAAAGGTGAGATTTTTCTCTTTTTCCCTTCCAGGAGTTGCTAGTTATCTTGCATTATCTGGTCTCTTCTCTCACAGCGGGAAACACAGCTCCCAAAATAAACACCATGTTTCCCACCCTCCCTTGTGCATACACAGGGGAATGGGAGCGGTTGGGGATGAGTGGAAGCAATACATACAACAACCAGGTTGTGTCTTTGAAAGAAAGGCATTATTTTTCCCTGTCCCAGTCTTTTCCCTCCGCGGGCTGGGTTGCAGACCCAGTCACCAGCTCGGGCCATGCAAACAAAGGCAGTGCTCTGTGCCATGGGAGAGAGCCTGCGTTGCCAGTGACTTCACGGGGCAGACCCGCCAAATCAGTGAAAGACAATTATGGAAGACAGAACCAGCTTTTAAAAATCTTCTTTAAACTATTGTTTGCAGGGGGGTTGTTTGCTAGATGCAGCAAAGTTATATCTTAAACAATACACTGGCTTGCTCGGGGGAGAGGGCAATGAATCAAAGGGTTAGAAGGAACAGGAACTTTGTGAGTAATTTTATCGCATGTGTGTTTCTAGGGTTCAAAGCATACATTAGAAAGGGTGCAATGGAGGAAGACTAATCTATAAGGACTGGAGGACTCAGGGAGGGAGAAGTTGCTATGACCCTTTCCAGTGCGAATAGAGGACTTTATGAGTTCATGAGTTCTAATCAACATATGCAACATACTTCCCCGTTAGAAGTAATGTGGCTTTACTTTCTAGCTGTGCGGTATACCTATTTTTTATTTTAAATGAAAAATAACAATAAAACAGAGTTTGAAAACAGGTTATTAGGAGAGTTACAATAACTAATACAAGGGGCTGGGGATTTAGCTCAGCGGCAAAGCGCCTGCCTGGCAAGTGCAAGGTCCTGAGTTCGGTTCCCGGTACCGGAGAAAAACCAAAAA